AGTCCCCAGCAGCCACAAGGAGCCTGCTTCCTTCTTGGGAGGATGGGCCAGGTACCTGCTCCCCGGCTGAGCATGGAGGCCCCTGGGCACTCCTGTTCTGTCGCCTCTTACCTGTGTGTCTTGAGGAAACCACTTACTCTGTGCCTCGATTTCCTCATCTGGAAAATGGGGTCATAAAAGTGTGTCTTCCTGGGGTTGTTTTGAACGTTCAGTGTGTTATGGGGGATCATGACATGATGTCAGGGGAGTCAGCTCTGGCTACCTGTTCTGCCAGGTAGCGCCTCATTCCCAGGTAGCCACTCCACAGCCCCTCTTCTGAAAAGCCCTCCCTGACCCCCCATGCTGGGTCAGACTCCCCCTCTGGTCTCCCACAGTTCCCTGGGCCCCCCATCCCAGCCTGACCACTCTGGAGACAGGTTTATGTACCCTGTGGACTGTGAGCCCAGTAAGGACAGGACTGGGGCTGCCTGAGCAGGCCGTGTCCCCAGAGCAGTAGACATCTCTGGGTTGGCTCCTGAATGACTCCCCCGTGTACCTGGCGAGCTTCATGACTAATGCCAGGTGAGCACTTACCTGCACTCTGCACTGTTGTTGCTTTTGAACAGTTTTATTGGGGTGTAATTCACATGCCTAAACTCACCCATTTTAAGTGTATAGTTCTGTGCCAGGAACTGTTTTAAGCTCTTTATATACATTAGCCCACTTACATTCTTTTAAAAATATATATCTTTATTGATTTTAGAGGGAGAAAGGGAGAGAGAGAGAAACATCAATGATGAGAGAGTCATTGATCGGCTGCCTCCTGCACGCCCCCGACTGGAGATGGAGCCCGCAACCCCGGCATGTGCCCTGACCAAGAATCGAACCGAGATCTCCTGGATCCTAGGTCGACGCTCAACCACTGAGCCACAGTCAGCCGGGCCATTTATATTCTTTTTACCTTCACAACAGTCCTAGAGGTCGGTTTTGTTGTGATTTCCACTTCACAGAAGAAGAAACAGCAGCTCAGAGAGGTTTCCTACTTGCTTAAGGTCACACAGCTGATGCGGCAAAGCCAGGATTCAAACCCAGGTCTTCCAGACTCACCTCTCTGCTCTCCCAAGCATTGCCCGGGAGCAAACGGTGTGAGCGAATGAGGAAATGAGGAAATGAATGGGGAAAGGAACGAATGAATGAGCCGGTCGCCAGGTGTTGGGTGGGTGCTCCATGGTGTCAGGATGTGGCACACACCAGGATTCTCAGCAAAGATGGTTAAAAAAATTTAAAATACTTAACATCTGCTATGGCAAGAGTGTAGCCAAGTTTCTGGGGGGTGGGGGGAGATCCCACAGGTCTGGGGTGGGGCTAGGGTGAGGGAGGGACTCGGAGGATTTGGGGGTCCATAGAAGCACAGCTGTTAGGAAACACCAGTGTTTTAACAACCTGTACATCTGGACCAATGCGCACCACTAGTGTCTGCTGAATGAAGGATGGATAGATGGATGGATGGATGGATGGATGGATGGATGGATGGATGGAAAGATGATGGATGGATGGATGGATGGATGGATGGATGGATGGATGGAAAGATGATGGATGGATGGATGGATGGATGGA